CACATATAATTCCTTCTGGGTATTAAGTATAATTTGTTAAATTTTTTTCCTTTCTTTTTTTTTTAAGGATTCATTTTTCTAAACAAGCCAGCAATTTGCTTCTAAACCACAATGAATTGCAACAACTCCCCCTAATGGCCAAAGAAAGGGTAAGTGGCAGTAAGCTGGTTTTTCCTTGTATGCCACGAGATCTCTGCTGGAAATAAAATTATGTTGCTTTGATAACTTAGAAAATTTAGATTTAGACAACAGTGGCTCTGAGATACAAAAAGAAAATCAAATCAATGTACATAAGGCTTCTGTAATCCAAGTCTTAAAGGAACATCTGCTCCTTCTCTCCAAGCCCCAGTCCTATAAATCAAGGCAAGTCAAGTAATTAAGCTTCAGCTATTTTGGCAGCTTTGCAACTAAGATGAACAAAGCACTATGTCTATCCTTCTGTATACTATATGTATTATAGTTCTATCTTCTTACACCAAATTTCACATGCAGAGAGACTAAAAATATCCATTTTGGTGTCAGGTTTAATTAAGGGCCAATAAAGGTCTTGTATACTACTCTTTTTTCCCCCCCTCAAAGTGAATTCTCTATTAGGTTTATTACTCACTGACCCAATTAAGTTTAGCTGGAATTTTTGAAAGCAGCTATGTATCCCCTTATAAAATAACATGTTTACCTGGGATCTAAGACATACTGTACATGAATATACATAACTATAACACAGCACTGCTGTCCTTTTAACAGCTCCATATACAGTTTAAGTTCATCAGTACCTCAAAAACTGTTTTAAGAAAAAGGGTTGTTATATAATGTCATGGTACAGAAAAAAGAAATTAAGTCTCAAATATTCCTTTAGAACTGGTTCAGGTAAGTTTAAAAAAATAAATAAAATGAGTAAAGCCATGATTTCAATTACAGGGCTGTCTACAGATATCAACAACAAAGTTTTTAAAACTTAAATGTGGCCAGCACTAGACTGCCACACACACACACACACACACACACACACACACACTCTCACGCAAAGGAAAAAAAATTCTCATTAAGCTATATGGCTATATGTTAGTTGCTACTGTGTGTTTTACACAGGTTACTGTAGACTAATTTTCAAGTCCATATCAGAAGGAATATTTGTTTAAAAAAAAAAAAGCAAACTTAAAAAAAACATGATTCAACAGAAAATGTGACAGACTCCTTAGGTGCAACTTTAGAAACTAGTTTCAAAGGAGGAAAAATAGTTACTCCAGAATTTTTAGATCACTACCACAGTTTTATCATGGCTCCCTAAGATAGAAAAATGGAACAAAATGTATTCAGCTATTGGCAACATAGGCCTTGTGGCTCAAAACGCATTCTAAACATGGGATGGAGTAAGGCTGATGGCTAGAGGTAACCACCTCCAATGAAATGAACTGGAAAAGATTTATAATTTACCCTACAAAGATATAACTTTAAGTTCCATTTCAGAGTAGTCACAGCTTTCCTTACGGAAGGCCCAATGGCAAGTTCATATTGCAACATTAGAGTTTCTCCCTTTCTCCATTTTTCAAACGTATTAAGTAACCAATTTCCATGGTATATGACCTTTTTACCTGGTCCCAATGATTAGTCTTTATGCAGAGAACTCACTGAGAAAGTACACTGGCTTCACCTTTGGTTTAAATGAAAAGGACACTGTTAAAGAGGGAAAAAAAAATCAAGTCATCTTGATTATGTTACACAATGAAGCAAGTGAAAATGATGAGCAAAGACTGTTTTCACCATGAATGTATTTGCTTCATAACCACTTAGGTCACTTTTGAGTGTTTCTGTGAAGGCAGCATAACCAGAATGCCCAAAATACTCCTATGTGTTTTCCCCAAAGAGCCTCTAACCCCAGAACCAAGAAAACCGAGAGCTTCCTTCAATTAGAAAGCTGTACAAATTCGTATTCCCCACCTCACAGTTAACTGAATTTGTTTCTTATCTACCGTCTAGAGAGTGCAGAAATCTGGTTCCTAGAAACGCCCAATAATCTTTTCCTGGCCTGAGATGCAGCAGGATGGTGCAGTGCTGTCACCTGAGGGGGAAACTGTGAGTTTGCATTTTTGATGGGACAGTTATAAACAAGGTCAGTTCTAGCACAGCAGATTCCTATGATAACTAACTCTCCCAGTCAGAATGTGGTTGTTCATCACCATACTTAGAGCCTCCCGTGAGAGAGCCTGCTTAGTATCAGGGTATCTATTATCCACAGTTTACCTTTTCTTTTGAAATACCTACCACCAGGTAGACTTTAGTGAGTCAGAGTTCATCCTTCTCCATCATTTCAAATGCTTCTATATCTTCATTCCAGTCTGCTAATATGGAGTCTATAGGTTGGACCTTTTTACCCCAGCTAACATTAGGACTGGAATCCTCCTCAGTTTCTGATTGTTCTAAATCTGTACATTCACCATCAAGACTTGTAGTCTCATGGTTTTCCGTGGGATTAGAATTCTGTTCAGAAGGAGAAATGCTTGCAGCATTGTCCGTATCTGCTGGAGACAAAGATTCTGGGTAAGAGTTTAGAGAACTTTCCTCAGGAGACTCCTGATCAACCAAATCAACCTCCTGAGAACTTGATGCAATCTGTTCAGCACTCTGATTCTGAGAATCATTTTCAGAGGATGGTTGTTCTTCATTTTCCGTCTCAGGATCTGTATATGAAAGAAACAAACTTCATGCTACTTTCCCCACAAAACATGTACTATCACATTCTCAAAACCATACTGGTTTTGGTAATAAAAGTTAAAGAAAATCATGTTAATGCAGAATGACTCTAATAACTAATAAGACTGCCTTCAATGGGTATTAGTATTATTGTTTAGTATATTTCTTGGCATTTACTATTAAAATGCATATAAATTTGTGTTATGTCTTAGATTTATTAAATATTTAAATTCAGGAAAGCCTGCACATGAGAACATATTAAATAGAATACATTTTATTTATTTATTTATTTATTTATTTTTAAACATCTTTACTCCAATAACATCTTTATTGGAGTATAACTACTTTATAGAAACTATGCTTAATAGTTTCTGCTATATAACAAAGTGAATCAACTATATGTATACATATATCCCCATATCCCCTCCCTCTTGCATCTCCCTCCCTCCCACCCTCCCTATCCCACCCCTCTAGGTGGTCACAAAGCACTGAGCTGATCTCCCTGTGCTATGCAGCTGCTTCCCACTAGCTATCGATTTTACATTTGGTAGTGTGTATATGTCAATGCTACTCTCTCACTTTGTCTCAGCTTACACTTCCCCCTCCCCGTGTCCTCTACAACTGCGTCTTTATGAATAGAATACATTTTAAACAGCACATGACATTGCTGTACTTTAAGATAATATTCTTTGAAAAGTGAAATTCCCACTCAGTAAACCATGAAAATGCAGATAATACAAAACTTTGAATGATTCATGGATATCGATGTGATTGATCAAATACAATATTTTCATAAACACAAAACCAGATTATATACAAAACTTCTATTTCATTATTGGAGATCTATGAATTCTAAGATATAATCATAAAATCCACTGGAAAGATGAAAAGCAGTTTAAACTTCTTGTAATGAATATATAATAAAGCCACTAGAGTCATTTTATTTAGGGTTCCTACAAGAAAGTGCTTAAATATTAGCATCGACACCCACATGCTGCATTCTCAGACTCTGCAGTCAGTTGGTAAAGATCTCCCGAGTGTCCACTGTGTGGCAGGCACTGTGTAAGGTGCTAGGGATAAAATGAGGTGAAAACGAACATCTGACCTGCCCTTCTGAATCTTATAGTCCAGCTGGGGAAAACAACGTTTAGGAATAACCACACAATAGAAAACTCTGTGACACATGTCATGGTGTTAGGAAAGAATATGGAGATTCGAGGGCTTCCTTCAGAAAGTGATACTTAACTGTGATATAAAAGATAATCAGAGTTAATTAAAGAAGAAAGGGAAGATGGACTTATTATAAAACCAGAAAAACTGAAGGAAAATACAGGCATTCAGGGAGGTAGAGGAGGCTGTGTATACATGCACCCTAATTAGGTAGGATTACCTGACTAGGGAAGTTTAAGATAGTTCTTAGGTGGGGTTTGTCAGGGGGAAGGAGGGCAAGGGGGAGGAGTCCCCACACATTTTCTCAGCTGTGGAAAGGGTACATTTTAATTTGACATCAGGGCAAACTATGGTGGGGCCCAAAGAAGAGAAAGCAGTGTCTGGCTGCTTAGGGCTCATTTATGCTAGGCTACCCTAAGTTCGAGGGAGAAGGGAAAGAAGAACCTTCAACTTTGTTTCTAGATTGCATTAATCTAGCTTATCCAGATTGCATTAATCTAGCTTAGAAGAATAGGAAAAAGTGTAAGGTTATTTCTTCTCGTAATAAAGATTGTGATTTTGGCAAAAAAATCACTCTAGGGTTACATGTTATATAATATTATTTTGGAAATCTAGCTAATAAAATGGAATAAGAAAACAGAATAGTATAGGCTCCAATCAAGATGGCAGCGGTGAAGAACGTGGAACTCACCTCCTCCCACAAATACATCAAAAATACATCTACAAATGGAACAGTTCTCACAGAACACCTACTGAACACTGGCAGAAGACCTCAAACACCTGAAAGGACAAGAAAGAGCTCTACGTAACTGGGTAGGACGAAGGGGGAAAAAAAAGAGGAAGTGGGACAGGACCTATGCCCCTGGGAGGGAGCTGAAAAGAGGAAAGGTTCCCGCACCCTGGAAAGCCCCCTCAGATCAGCTGGGACAGAAAGGCAGCTTCAGAGGCGCAGAGCAGAGTGCAACCACCAGTTTGTGGCAGGCAGGAGAGAGACCCACACAGACTGCTGTACCGCTACCCTGCGCGCCCCAGCCTGACACATGTGTCCGCTGGTACAGGCAGGGGCTGAGTGCTGATACTCGGAGTTTAGAGGACAGACCTAGGGAGAGGACTGCTGTTGGATGTGCAGAGAAAGCCTGAAGGGGCTGGAGTGTGGCATGGCTACAGCCGGGGGTGTCTGCAGAAGCCCAGGCCTGCCACAGAACTGAAGAGCCATTGTTAAGTGGGGCACAAAGGGAAGGATGCCATGGCAGCCCCTTTCTCCACATGCCAGCCTCTGCCTCCACAGACTCCGGGACACTGCACACCAGCCACCGCCTCAGGGGCTCCAGACTCAGCAGATTCCTGCAACCCAGCTGCCGCCTCGGGCTCCCACCTGGGCAGGCTCAGGGGTCCCAGCCACCGCCTAGGCTGGCACCTGCACCAACCACCACCTTGGCAGGCCCCAGGAGCAGACACCAGTGAGCTGCCCACGCACAGAAGCAGGCCTGAAACCACAGCTGAGCCCCAGGGGCTGCGTGACTTAGGAAGCAGGGTTGCAATCTCTCCCTGCAGCTGTGTGAGCTGTGTATTTACACCTTCGCTGCTGGCTTTGTAAATTCAGCATCTGCAGAGCATCCGAGTAGACAATAGGTGTTCCCATGCTGGGATGGGTCTGGCCTTAGCAGCTGTGGGCTATGCGGGCGCGTGCACATAGGGGCTGGGCTGGGCCTGGGTTTGAGCTGCCTCCATAGCTCCCACAGCATGTCCAGGTGTGCAACTACTACAGTCCTGGGACCCGGCTTTAGTGGATCTGTGCTGGTGGCCTTGTGAAAACAACACCTGAGGGACACCAGGCTTGATTGCCAGCATTCCCAAGGTTGAGACGGGGCTGAGGGCAGTATACTTTGTGAGCCCACACAGTGGGTGACAGGTGACACAACAGACCACACTCACTGGTGAACAGCTCTGGTAGAAGAATACTCAGTGTCTCCTCTCCCTGTGGGAACACTCCAATCCCACCTACCTCACACTGCAGCTCAGAAATGGATCTGGGGGCTTCTACTCCAACAGCTAGGGAACAGACCCAGCCCCTGACAGGGCAATAACAACCACAGAGCAAAAGAGGAGGCCCCGATCAATATGCAGTGCAGACTCTGGTCACCACAACACCAGTCACACCTCCTATCAAGGGGATAACAGCCAGCATACACTGAGGAAAGAGGCAACAGGCATCCACAATAAAAACAGCCCTCACACCAAAAAATATTAAACCCACACAGGCTATACAGGGATGCTCCCACATAAAAATAGCCCTCCAAGACCACATAGATAATTGTTTCTCCTAAACTCATAGAGCAAGAGAAGTATAAGTAAAATGAAGAAGCAGAGGAACCACTCCCAATTATTAAGATCAAGAGAATTCCCCTGAAACAACAATGAAACAGGCCTCTTCAGTCTAACAGACATCGAGTTCAAAAAGGAGATAATGAAAATACTGAAGGAGTTAAGAAGGACTATTGATAGAAATGCAGATTACTATTACTAGAAACTATTAAAAGGAACCAAGAAAAATTAGAGAACTCATTCACTGAGACAAAAGCTGAGCTAAAGGCAATGAGTAGCAGAAAAAATAATGCAGAAAAACGAATAAGTGATCTGGAAGATAGAATAATGGAAATCACCCAGTCAGAACAACAGAAAGCCACATGAAAAATAAAATGAAAGCAATATAAGAAAGCAATATAAGAATAAACAAAGCATGCCAATGTACACTTAGTAGGGATCCCAGAAGAGAGAGAAAACAGGATTGAAGATGTCTTTGAAGAAATTATGGCTGAAAACTTCCCAAACCTAAAGAAGGGAACAGATATCCAGGTACAGGAAGCACAGAGGGTCCCAAACAAGATAAACCCAAACAGACCTACACCAAGACATATTATAATAAAAATGGCAAAAGTTAATGAGGATTCTAAATGCAGCAAGAGAAAAACAGAGTTAATTACAAGAGAACCCCCCATAAGGCTATATATCAGTTGATTTCTCTACAGAAACGTTGCAGGTCAGAAGGGAGGGGCAAGATACATTCAAAGTCCTAAAAGGGAAAAATGTGAAATGTAGGATACTCTGTCCAGCAAGATTATCAAATTTAAAATCAGAGAGAGAAAGAATTTCCCGGACAAGCAAAAACTAAAGGAATACAGCAATATTAAACCTATCCTAAAGGAAACATTGAAAGGTCTTCTCCAAATAGAAAAAAAAGAATCTTTAGGGAAAAAAATCATAAATGGAAAGTAAATCATTTAAATAAGCCAGTACACAGATTTTTAAAAATCACAATTAAAAAAAAATTTCTGTGAAAGCAATGATAACCACAACGAACAGCAGAAGGATGAAGATGTAAAGGAGGACATCAAAATCGTAAAATGCGGGGAAGGAGAGCAAGAAAATGTAGGGCTTTTCCCAGAATGTGTTTGAGGCTACATGACTACCAGTCTAAAGCAAGCAGATATAGGAAGGGGTTAATATACTTGAAAAACAGGGTAACCACAAATCAAAAACATACAATAGACACACAAAAACCAAAACCAGATTTTATGGATCTATCACGTACAACAGATTCATAAAACAAAAGAAAATCATCAGACCACAAAAGGAAAAACTGAAAGAAAAAGGGACAGAGAAGAAATATAAAATCAACAGGAAAACAAGGTTTAAAATGGTAATAAATACATATCTATCAATAATTACCTTAAATGTCAATGGATCAAATGCTCCAATCAAAAGAGACAGAGTGGCAGATTAGATTAAAAACAAGGGCCTAAAATATGCTGTCTAC